TATTGAATGAGGTTTGGAATCATCGCATGTTGTGCCGCATAAAATATTGCGTCTTTGTTAAATTCGCTTTATTTCAGCATTTAGTTGCTATACTTCCATAAAGCAATTATCATGGGGATTACAGCCTAAATCATGATCACTTGCTGTCATTTTCCTCTTATATTCAAGCTTACCATGGCATAGTCTAATTATCTTCAATCTAGTTAAGAATAATTCCTTCAGTCAATACTTTTTATCGACTCTCATCATCACTAGTCTTCTTTTTTCTACGGTTATGATCATAGACATTAATCGTGAGATTTTTAAGTGAGTCTTTTCCGTATCTTCTCACAATCTTCACAATATAATAACTCTAACCATTTATTAAAATATTTTTAAATGCCACATTTTTGCTATATGGTCGTTATTTCACGACTCTATATGACTTAGATGTTGAAGGCCCCTTTTAAATCCTTTTTCTGCTTCTCACTGGTTTGAATTTTCCCAATTTTATCTGCTTCCAGTTTTTTCCTCATTTGTTTGTCTAACCTTCCATCATTGTTTACTGCATCATTTTTACACTTTTCGGTCCATTAAATTCGTTTTGATCGGTATTTATCTTTAAATGGTAATATTTTCTTTTCCATGAATAAGACTTGAGTCATTGACATGCTGGCTTAGTCACGTACCTCTATTTTGTCATTATCGCTATCCTTGCAATTGTTTTTCACTCGATCGCTTTTGAACCTTTCTTCCATCTTCCTTTGTGATATCTCAACGATGACGGCCTCAGAACGATGAGAACTCGCCAACTTCCCCTTCTACTACTAGCCTTCTTGATGCGAATATACGTCCTCAAATGAATGCAGAAAGCAGTAGTGTTGGTCTTAGTTCACATATGACCACTTCTGAGACTGATCCAAACAGCGCATTGCTCATATTGAGTCCAGGATTTGATGAAAATCCTTACGAGTTTGGACCAGATGATCTAGGTGGACACGTCCTCTCGCACGTAGTTGAATCTATAACAAGTCAACGTTCTTCTGGCCCCACAAGCAGTCTCTCCTCCATCAGCTTTTCGGGTCTGGCAAGTAAGTCTTCATGTGCTCTCACTATGACGACGCCAGTCGTCTCTTCTTCTGACTTGGAGGCTGCTGCATTTGGAGACAGCAGTAATCACTATTCATCCAGTGGGACCGTAAACAGCGCATTGGGTTCCTCTTCAAACGGAATTCCAGCTGGTGCTGTCCATCCTTCAAGAGCACTGACCTCTATGGTTAGTGCTATCAAGCCGGCAGGATCTGGTATTCAATCCAGTTCTCTGTGGGCGGACTTAAGTGGGCATCATCCACTTTCTGATCAACGTCGTCTGGCTGCCGCTGCTCTACTACAACAACAACAGCAGTCTGCACAAAACCCCTCTGTTTTGGGAGATTTACAAGCTTCAGGTGACATCGAGACGGAAGCAGAGGTGGGTAGACCTGAGCAACTCTTCAAGAAACTTACTTCAGATCTCATCAGCAATGTTAGTAATGGGCCAGGGCTCACTTACTTGTTTCGCCTGCATCGAGTTTTTTATAATCGTATCATGCATGCTTGGGTTCGAGCGCAAAGAGCCAGTCGATTCTTGGACACTTCTTTGCCTTCTTTTGACATTACCTCACCTCTCATTTTTAAGTTTCATCACCTTTATTTACTCTGCATGCCCTGCTTTGCTGATTTGGGTAAATTTTGCACCAACTGTTGATGTTCAAGAAAGTTATCATATTCTTAAGCAGTACAGCTTAAGATCGCACCACTACATTAAGCTTCAGTATGCCGACCTCTTCTAACTACGTGTATTTAATGAGAAATTTCTGATTTTATGGACTTTACTCGAAGTAAGCTGTAGAAGCAATGAAAGGACCTCGACTAAACGTGTTGTTAATGAAGAGATCTCATTACTCGTGTTTGTAACTAACTTTGCATAAAATGCCTATATATCAAGAATATTTGCTCTTGATTCTCATAGAGATTTCATATCTGGACCTCGGTGAGTTTCATGATATTTTCGGGGTGTCTTTGTCATAGTCCACTTCAGACGTAACATTTTCATCGACACTAATGTATTTTCTTTCTGTTATCTATTCATTTACCGAAATAGTAATTCATGCATGTGCCTCATTTGCTAACAAATTAAGTTTCTGAAACCCTTTATCCATTCTGATTACCTTTGTTAAATTGTTATTATCTACCAAATTGCGGTTGCGTTTTTAGTCTTTACTGAAATTTTCACACACTTTCTTTGAAGAAATGTTGATAAAGTTGAGTCTTATCTTTTCTGGTATCTGGAGCTTGAACTGCATACAATGAAACTAAGTTTTTCTTGGATTTTTCTCAGGCCCGATTACTTCTTGAAACTGTATCCAGCTTTGGGTTTCACTGACATTTCCTAATTTTGAAGGCCTAATAAACACTTTTAAAATTATTGGTTGCAAGTCAAGGAGACATGAGACTGTGTGAACGGTGGTAAAAGCCACATTGAGGGCCTGATAGAGTAACAAGACCGGAAAGGTAAGTAGTAATGGTGAAGGAAATAATTACGATTGATTGAGATTATTCCATCCACTTACTTTTCGTACATACGACCCAAAATTGTTTAAAGCTACAAATCCAAAGATAGTAATAATCTATATATGATGGAAAGAATAAGGAGTAACTAAGATTACATGTGTGAATAACAAAGCATACAC